GAAAAATTTTTTGCTGTTATTGTTAATTGAAATAATTGTTCAGCAACGGAACTATTTTTTGATGTAAATCTTTCAACTATTTGTAACCAACTTAATTGTCCTGGAACAGTAGATGATGTTGTCTATTAATATAAGAAACAAACAAAAATGATTGATTTTTTTTTGGGAGAAACGGGTCAAAAAATGCAAATATTCTTACTTGATTCAGAATATATTGAATATTTATTCTCATATGTTGTATTAAACGAAGATGTCCTGTAATAAATGCTTTTAAACATATGGCTAATATTTCACAACTATGTTCATATAAAATAGGTAATTCTTCTAATAATTGACTATTTAATGCTTCATAAGTTTTTTTAGCAAGATCAAGTACTTGTTTAGCCTAGAAAATATAATTAAAAAAAAACAAAAAGAAAATGAAAACTATTTTGAATACTTGTCTTGATTGTTGATCTTTAACTTTTTCATATGCTGATTGAGCACTATCATAATCTAATAATTTATCATGTCGTTTAGATATTAAATTTGATGGTAAAACAAATAATTTTATTAATGTATTTATTGGATTTGCAACACATGATTCCATATGAGTACACTATATTAATGAAGATCAAAAACAAAATAAAACAAAAAATAAATAAATAAATAAATTAGATATTTTACAAATTCTGTAAAAGCATTTTCAAGTAATAAACGTTTTGATCGAACAAATTGTTGTACTAAATCAGGCATTTTATCCGATAATAATTCTTGAAAATCTTCAGCAACATTTACTTCAGTAACAAATGTTTCCTATAGAAAGAAGAAAAAAAAGAAAATTATTTTATTGAAATAGTTTTCAGTATGATAACAAATTTAGATATTTTACCTTAAGTGCTTCCATACAAATATAAGCATTTCGAACAAATAATCTTAAAAATTTATCAATAGCACGAAATCGTTGTTCTTCAAAATTGAATCGTTCATCAATTGTATGTGCTGATAAACCAAATGCACTTGATAAACGCATACTTATTCGTGCAGATTTTTTTCTCATTGTATGCATATTTAATTTATATAATTTATTTGTTAATGCTTCATCTTTTTCACGTCGTTGATATTTTGAAACTAAATAAGAACAATGAAAAAATTTTCGTTGTTGTTGTTGTTGTTCTCGTTTTATTAAATTAGCTGATGATAATCTTGGTAATAGTGGTATTGATGTACTACGTCGAAATATAGTTATATGATACGGTTCCATATTATCATCAGTTACATTAGGATTACTTATATTTTGTACAAGTATAAAACGTGTACATTTTTTCAAGGCCATTTTAAATTGTTTTGTGTGAAGACAAAACAAGATATATGAGTTGTTAATCGTATGTATGCAAAAATGTTTCTACATATCTCTCTCT